ATATGATTTAGAATAAGTTATACCAGTGAAATGTATTGAATATTTTGATATTGGAGAGAAATGTTACTAAGTCGTGGATTTTCTAAGAATTTAATAAAAATCTTTATAATAACCCCAAAATGTTATCTTATTGAAACGAAATCAAAAGTAATACAAAACATTTTATCTGTGTGTATATTCGTTTACTTTAGCTCATTCTTAGTAATACCAATGTAATGATTATATTAGGCCAAATTACACTATAATATCAAGAAGTTGAAATCTTGTAGTAGAATAATGGAGATATATTTATAACTCATCTTTGGTTGAAGTTAATGATACAGATCATAGTTTAAATTCTTTTAACCCCACTAATAATTCAGTGTAACAGAATGTTATTAAACCTCACTTTATTTTCATCATTGTAAGAATTGATATTGGAATATATCATGTGCTTTGAACATAACTAAACAAAAAACATGGTAATAATTTAAACAGAAATAATCCAGAATACAGATAAGTATCTTATCTGTTCTTTAACGTTTACCATTCGTATTAAGTCATCCATAAATCCGGAACATATATATATAATTTATCATTAGGCTGAACAATTCACATCGTTGTTGTTGTTATCATTTTTATCATAAATGAAAATGAGCTGGAAATAGAAATAAATGGGTTTATTGTCATATTATGTTATTTAGTTTGGTTAATATTTAGTGAGTTATATATATATATCAAACTCACTTCAATGTACATATGTTATCTATGACACAAATGTATGTTCATTTAATATACTATGAATGATCAAACCATTCCCAACTGTATTGTAATAATATATTATCAATAAAGTAAACACAATAAATTAGCAAGTCAGATTATTGAAATAAATTTCCATTAGGATATTTTTGTATTTAACAGTTACTAGGGCTCAAGTGAGCAGCATTTAGGTTTATTGATAAATTCTTTAGTTTCAAAAACTCACAAGTTTCAACACTTAGACATAACGTTTTCAAATTTATGTGAACTTTTAAATATTTTAATAGTTGAATTCATGAGTCAAATGAAGCTAGATCACCATGGAAAACATGAAAGCACTCCAAGACTGTTTCATCGTAATATGAGACTCCTCAGTAATGTGCATCCACGATCTCGCCCCATGAGATTCGAATAGAGGATCTATCAGTCTCGCGCGCAAACATTTAACCACTAGACCACTGAACCAGCATTCAACAGTGTTAATATCTAGCTCTAATCAATCCACAAAAATGAGTGACACGTTCAACATTGTCTTCAGTGAGTTGCTGTCTCATAACAAACCCCGTTGAACTCCACTGGTTACGACTTCTTACTAGAACTCCAGGAAATATCTCTTGGAGACCGTCACTATTGAGCATATGATGATTATAATCAGAGAAGGGTTTATGTGGATCTGTCGTGGGATAGTGCCTCACTGACGACAATGGTGGACGATGGCACAACTTCGCAAGTTGATTTAAGTTAGACATTAACACCACCTAATGTCAACTCAGTGGTCTAGAGGTTAAGTGCTCTCAAGTGAGACTGATAGATCCTCTATTCAAATCTCATGGGGCGAGGTCGTGGATGCACACTACTGAGGCGTCCCATATTAGGATGAAACAGTCTTGGAGTGCTTCCATGTCTTTCATGGTGGTCTAGCTTCGATTGACTCATGAATTCAACTATTAAATTACTATAATATCCAAGAAAATCCTTCTCTGATTTTATATATTTTCTGATACTGTTCATTTATTCATTCTTGTGTTCTGTAACATTTAAAAGAAAAAAACTAATTACGATAAACACTACAACCTTCATGTTTGAAACTAATATAGTCACATACCTACAATGATATGAATTAATCATGATAGGTCATAAAAATGTATTCACGTGTATTATTTATGATCTTTATACCAGTTTGTAAATTGTATTCATTCATATTTTATTTTAACTAAATGTTACCAGGTATTCTATAATGTTTTATTTCCATTAATTTTCAATCGATAGATTGGGAAAATTATATCTTTTTCCATGAGCTAATTCAAACAAAAAATGTGATATTATTTACATGAATGTATAAAAATATATTGATAAAAATGAATAGTTTATTCATTTCTTAAATGATCAGTGTTTTCTAATTGTATCTTAGTCATTCTGAGCTATTTATAAAATATCCTTATTCATTTAGTCACAAAAAAACATTCAGGTAGAGTAATCATTTCAAATAAAACATCTATGCTTCAATGATTCCTTATTTGTATGGAGTTGTAGAGATTGTTGAGTTATTAATTGAGATCATGAATCGATCAATGTTTAACCACTATTGAAAACTTGGAAGCACTGGATAGTCGTTTCATCTTAGTGTGCATCCACGATTCTACAAGCGGGATTTCAACCCAGATTCCTTATCTGACGTTACCCTGTAAAGAAACAAACCGTAACATCAATATTTTTTTACATTTTTAAGTAATTTTCATCCCTTTGTTGAATAGCGATAACGATAACGATTATTGGGGAATTGTTTTTAAAAATCTTGCACGTTTGTTTATTATGAAGAAACTGATATAAAATAAATCAAATTTAACAGCTTTTCATATTCATCAAAATCATAAGTTTTTTTTAATTCTCTTCTGCTTGTTGGATTAAGTTGACGTCATTAAGCTGATTCGTTTGACATAAATACATTTACATGTTTTTCAGCTAGTTTTTATGATAAACATTTCTGCATCAATCCTAAAAAGAAATGAAAGACTAAACGTTAGTTTAAAAACCTTTCACACTGTACTGTTACTTGAAGCCTACAACTATAACATTTCAATATGCGATTATATATATTCAAAATCAGTAATGGGAATTCGGGGGAGACTTTTCAATATAAAATGTCTATTGAGCTGTCCATTACCAGTGGTTGAACAATCGTTCAAACCTAAATGTTCATCAACCAATAAACAATATAACAATGGTTTCCTAAGTTCTCCCAGTAACGCCAGACTCAATCTACATGACAACGTGAACACGAGATAAGAAGGGCGAAATATGGTTTGCTTATGTACAGAAAAATGAGGGTATTTATAGCATTTCAGATGACCTTTGGCTTTTGGAAGGTTTCGGAATCCTACTAAACATATGTCATCATCCAATCACAAATGTGACACATGACTTCACTTTCTAAATGTTTCTAAGAAACTTCTATTCAACACTAATTGGATAAAATATTTCCCAGCATTTTCAGGGCTCTTCTGAACATTTTTGGTTAATATAATGAGTTTTCCCAACAGTTAGACCTCAAGATAGAAAAAAATATACTGATTATTCCCCGACCTAATAAGTGTGCTTACACCTTTTACCTGTTTTAACAAGTCATATCCTTAACAAATAAAATATAAACGGATCACAGAATGTACCACTGATCTTGGAATATTGTGAACGAAATACATTTTTTGTATATGAACAACATAACCTATGTGATTTTCTTAAAGCACTTTAAAAGAAATACTTGTATAAGTACAGCTGTATGCTATAAATTACGTACTAATAAAATCTCGACGAAAATTTCAAACAGGCTCTTGTAAAATAATTTAATTATCATATTTCTAGCCAGAACTGATTACATCACTTAAAATAAGTTGTTGCCAAATAAGAATAAACATCATCTATGGGAAGATTCAAGTAAAACAATATCAAGAGAATTAAACTTCACCCCATTGCACAAGCAAGTGGCTATCAGGACTCAGTAGCTAAGTAGATAACGCGATGGCGTTTGAAACGAACGGTACTGAGTTCGAGTTCCAGAGTGAACATCAACTCTGAGATTATCTATAGTAGCTTACTTCTTTTTGATCCTATGATTAACCTGTAACATTACATATTAAACTTCAGGAACAATCAGTTGATTAGTTCAAAGTAAGATGTATTATTGGTCCCTAAATTTGTTTGCTGTCGTCTAATTAGTGGACTAGCATAATTCAATTTAGTTATTGTTATTTTTCCCTTAAGTCTTTTGAATGAAATTTATTTCCATTTTGGTCATAGGCATTTACCTTATAATAATATTACATAAGCACTCGATGTTTTACTAAAATTCTATTATCAATAGACCCAATCAAATTGATGATAATGATAATATGCTGTTAACTTTATAATTATTAAATAGCATAAACTAGATGATTATTTTGTTTATATGAGATTTATGATAGACTTAACATAAAGTCTGGATTACACAAGTTCATTCTAGAATGAATTAACCCATTAAGAAACACCTAAATTCAAACAATCGATCACATACATCATACAATCAACTTAATTATAAGTATATTCTTTCTCATTCACTATAACCAATGAAGTATTTTACAAATAAGTTATACTCAAGTATCCAGTATCAATCTTACTGTAAGTGATGAATTTACCTTATATTAAGTGTATAAATCTTAGTCAATAACTTGATAATATATATAGATAACCACTTTAAAAAGACTCATTCAATCAAAGTTGATATTTTCATCTTTAATTCTATTCTCTTATTATTGATTTTATTTATAGTTGAAATTAGTTATAACCAATAGAAAATAGATAAAAAGATAAATGTTTACGTTTGATCACTTTATCAGTCAGTGTATGTTTAAAATATTGTTAGAATGATTGAACTTAAAATTAATAAAATGATAACCGTAACGATGATGGTAGCATTAATGAAGGTAGTAATAGGAGCTTAATTATTGACAAGAAAAAAAATTTTAAAAAATTTCACTATTAATGGTAATATATAATAGCAGAGTGTACATATACACACACACATCAAGTATCATATGTCAAAGTAGAGTATAACTCTTGGTGGAAAATTTTTAATTAAATGAATTAATGGTATTTGAAAGAAACTAGAAACGGTTAAATAATAGAAAGATTAGTAAATATGTAAAATAAAATAATAGTTAATTGACAAAAACTCTACTCTATTATATTTCATATTTAAGCTTGTATACATTTATCTTATTTGACTTTTTATGTCAGTATCAAGTTTGTTAGGGTAAATGACAATGATATCAATGTTTTAACAGCTGTTGCTTAACTTAAACACTGAAAAAGCAATTTTTGCCAAACAGGTGATGATGATGATGATGATGATGATGATGATGATGATGATGATGATGATGATGATGATGATGATGATGATGATGATGATGATGATGATGATGATGATGATGATGATGATGATGATGATGATGATGATGATGATGATGATGATGATGATGATGATGATGATGATGATGATGATGATGATGATGATGATGATGATGATGATGATGATGATGATGATGATGATGATGATGATGATGATGATGATGATGATGATGATGATGATGATGATGATGATGATGATGATGATGATGATGATGATGATGATGATGATGATGATGATGATGATGATGATGATGATGATGATGATGATGATGATGATGATGATGATGATGATGATGATGATGATGATGATGATGATGATGATGATGATGATGATGATGATGATGATGATGATGATGATGATGATGATGATGATGATGATGATGATGATGATGATGATGATGATGATGATGATGATGATGATGATGATGATGATGATGATGATGATGATGATGATGATGATGATGATGATGATGATGATGATGATGATGATGATGATGATGATGATGATGATGATAAATGAGAAAATCATCATCTCATGATTTGTAGTCATGATGAAAGATTCAAAGGAACAGTTAGTAAGAAACTAGTTACATGTTATTCATAACAAAATGTTTTCGGTTATAATATCATTATGAAATATTTATATATTCTTGACCATGAAACAGATAAATATCAATAGAGTATATGTTTTTCATACTACCAGTCATACGTCTTTTTGCTAATTAAATGTTCATTTATTTTAAACATCAAGTTCTTATTTTCAATAACAATATGGTTGATATAAATATTAAGGTCATCACATAAGAAGTAAAACTAACAAATAGATAATAAATGTGTCCTGAATAATTTACTAGAAGCATATAATATTTACCCAATAAAACTTTTACTTAAAAATATATGTAACTTCTCATACTTTTCATTGTATGTTATTGATAAACTTATAAAATATTTTGATGATAAGCTTTGAAGAGCCTTTTTCAACTCTACAACAAACAGATAGTAATAATCTCAATAAATATCATATGAGATTACAGAATAATTTCCTTGAGTGGATGATACAAGTTGGACTATATAAAGTATTTAACACGATAAGTCAATAAAAATCGTTTAAAGCACCTTCAATCTATGAATTTGAGAAAATGAGATCTTTAGCAAAATACATTGGCAGTAATATTTTTAATTCAGTTACTTAACTGAATAGATTTCAGTCTTACAAAACGTGTAACACTATCCTTATAGTGAGCAATAAGAAACTACCATGAAATGTAATCAGTGTAATGCTGATTATCGACAAACATCTTGCACTTGAAACATGAAAGTAAAATACATTGTCAACTGATCTATTAACTTTGATGTATGTTTTCGTCCTTACAGGTTAATAAATTTTAATCATCGAAATGGACTTGTCACTTTCAAGACGATCTGACGAAATGACATTTGATCTCGAAAAATTGAGCATCAATCAATTCCTGTTACATTTATATGAATTATTATAAAACAGAAATGATCTATATATAATCAATCAGTTTCTCATATACGTAGTTAACCTCACATTTTTTCAATGGTTTATTAGGTATATTGATACTATATTTCTAATGAAGTCACTTCTTTTTTATACGTATAATTAGCAAATGCGTTTGCATGTTGAAGGTGAAATAGATAACAGAATATGTCGTAGACCGTTCAAAAAAACACCATAAATCCTGGATTAAATATTTCCAAGAGGCCATATTCAATAAATGCAATGTTCTATTAGTCCCCCTTCCATTTTTCACACACTATCTCATTAATCATTTAAATAACGATTCACAACAAAATCCCTAGTCGACTACTTCTGAGAATAATTGCTTTACATTAAATTTCTAACTTAACTACTTTTTCAACAAGGCCTTACTACCACTATTTTATTATTATTAGCTTTATTCAATAATATATTTACGGTATAATATAGAATTCTGAGCATAAAGTATTTCAACAAGTTTTCGTTTTTTACTTCTTGGTCGAATCTGACGACAAATATTGAGTGGTAGCCAGCTAAACGTTAGTAGTCAAAGAATTGACCCCTGAATAATAAACATTCTTTTCATTACAAACTGCCAGTAATTACAATGTTTCTGACTGGGCTTTTTTGAAACTTTTACAGTGAAAAGTTGTAAAGTTTTCATAAATGCGCATTACTAGGTTATATGATTAATAAACATAATGATGTGTTAAAACAAGCAAAAACAGATAACTTGTTGAAACATATAGAGGGCAGGAACAGGTAGCCCAGAGTTTCAAGCAGGCAGCCTTCCTAAAGTTTAAAATATATGAGGATAATTTGTAAACTATTCTTAACAGCAACTTACACTGAAAAAATTATTTTTCTTCCCTGTTTTTCTAAATTATATTAAAAAGAATATATTTTCTGATTATATTCTTCTCGATTTTTAGAAATACTCATATGCCATTTGAAACGTGAATTGAATCACTAAAAAACAATATTAAATTAAACTGAAATCGTGTTTAAAAATTACCATGTGCGCATTTCGTCGTTAATATATTGATGAGCTTTAAACTCATCAACACCATCACTCTTTATAGCATTTTTTGTTCAGAAATTAATAAAGGAATAGTGAAGTAGCTTGGTTTATTTTATTGAAACAAAGGACAGTTTATTCTATGTGGAAAAGTTTCATAATTGAACCTCAGAAAACGTTTATTATATCCGCCTATCATAGTAAACAAACGATTTCTGTTGTATACATTACTCTTGAGTAACGAATCCATTTTTGTGATCGTTTAAATGACATATAATCCAACAGTACAGATAGAGATAGATTCTAAGCACGTTTCTGAGCATTATTCTTTATTCATCAATCGACGAATGAATTAATCCCCATATTTATCGAAAAATGAATTAATCACTGATAAAAAACTTGTCTGGAAGAAATCGTATTTTTATTTACAAATTCTAAAACTCTACAGTGTGCTGAGAAAAACTTACAAAAGTCACGTATTCGAATTTCTTTAATTTCATAGTGCTAGCATACGTCTTTCGTTTTCGATAATTTTACATGTGAATAATTGTTTGCCGAAATCTGTCAGATTTAAAATCCTTTAGTAGTTAATTGAATTAAACATCTGGAGCTCTGTTTGATAATAAATACATCCAGTCGTTTCTTTTACCTTGGTCAATCTTAAGCCTAATAAGTAAAAAGTCATCTTTATCACAAGATAACCTTTATAGATCCTGGGTTCGGATCTCATGGGCGAGTGTGTGGATGCACACTACTGAGGAGTCTCATACTAGAACGAAACAGCCATCCAATGCTTTCATGTTTTTCATGATGGTCTAGCTTCAATCGATGCATGAATTCAGTTATTAAATGAGCATTACACTTGTATATTTTATGGCCCAGATTTATCTTATTAAAATAGTATAGTTTAGAGGCTGTGGAGATTGTTAAGTTTTTTTATTGAGATCATGAACCGATTGATCTTAGACCACCATTGGAAACCTGGAAGCACTTCGTGGATTGGTTGAGGTTAGACATTTACAGCATTTGATGCTGGCTCAGTGGTCCAGTAGGTTTAACGTTCACACGCGAGGCTGAGGGCCCTGTGTTCGAACCCAGCGAGCAGGATCGTGGATGCGCGTTGGCGAGGAGGACGAAACGGCCGTCCAGTGCTTTTAGGTTTTCAATGGTGGTCTAACATCAATCGGTTCTTGATCTCAGTCAATAAAATATTATATTATGACCATTATTCACATAACTCTGTGTCATTAATTTTATCGATCATAAAAACGCGTGACGAATTTCATTAGAACATATCACTTCAAATTCATTTTACATTTCATAAATTGCATACTATTCGACTAAATATTTGATCACATTCGTAATTAGATTATCAATCCTCTCATTTTATGTTAAATATATATTCTGTTTATTATTTTCACGGTTTCAAGTGAAGTACAAACTTATTTATGCTAACATTACTTACTAGATATATTTCAATATTACTAGTTTTATTTTACCAATAACCTAAAAGTTAAACGTTATAATCTTAATAGTGAATTGTTTTAAATCCATGCAAATACATAATCTTAATTAATATTAAAATATGCTGGTATAGAATAGATGAAATAAGGCCAGCAACGGAATTCAAGATGAACGTTTCATCCTATTTAAGACCCATTAGCTAATGTTTGTTTTTTAAAGTTCAGCACTAAAAAATCAGTACTTTAAAATTACATAATATTTATTTAAGAATAAACAGATAGCTTCAGCTGTTACATTATTAAATAAAAATAAATCAATGTAAACTCCATCACATTTTGTTACAAAATGTGGTGATTGATCTGTTGTGTGAAATTGTTACTGTGAGAGAAAAAGAAATGCGATTCTGTCAAATATGTAATAACATTTTAGGTTTATTCACAGATTTTACTATCTAATAAATAGTAAAGCCTTTTTACTGTTCCCTGTTATCATTTATCTGCGTAGCAAACAGAGATCCTGTCAAATTTTTAATATATATATATATATATATATATATATATATATATATATATATATATATATATATATATATATATATATATATATATATATATATATATATATAATGCATCAGAAACTGGGTGAGGTATTTTCTAGAAAATCTATTTGAACGTAATAGGATCAATACTGTGATATATAACGTAATGTTTTGGCATCCAATATATAATAGAATTCTCAATATTTATATCATATGAAATTGATACTTATGCTGAAATTAAAGAATTTCATCAATGAAATTTTATGTCAACATGAGAGTCGCATAGAACACTGCTCTGTTAACGGTTGTTTAATTTTTCTTGAAACATCAGATCTTAATTATTTTGAGGCACTTCAAATGTTTTACTGGATTTTGTGCAAATTACTTTCAATCTTCAGTGTTCACAATCTTTTGAAAAAAATTTCCCACTGATAAATAATTCTGGTGTTTTATTTCTTGGCCTAATGAACTGAAGAGTTAACATACCAGTTGAATACAATCTAAAAATTTCGCGATAAAATATAGGTAAAGTATGGTTTTCACTAAATATCTGTGTACTGAATACTTGCTATTCTAAAACAACAATAAATCAAAATTTTGATTATAATGACTCAAATTGATCACAGAATTCTTTTCTACCAGTTTTCAGAATTGTCTAATTTATTAGCTGAGTTGTAGTAGTGTCATTTTAAAAATGTTTCTTTCATGAGCTTGTTCCCTGTGAGATTTTGATTAGACACTGAATTAATAAAACTTCTCGCTAACATAAAAATCACATCGGAAAAGGATGATTATTTAATTAATTTCAATTTTTTTTAACAAGGTTACATTTTGCAGGTACAAATAACAAGCCGAAAATTGAAGAATTAACTTCCGTCTTTCTTGTGAAATTTGATTATAATAATGATTATGTTTATGAGAGAATTAGCATAATGTCAGTGAATTAAAATGTTACACAGTACTTAAAATACTGACTATGATCTTATTGTAAGAAAATTA